ATCGAAAAAACGTTTTCAAAAAACGTAAAAGACACATATTCGTGATCAACGTCAAATTCTCTATCGAATAGGCTAAAAAATACGGCAATTTTTTTTTTCACTTTAACCGTGCTTTATGTGCATCTTATATCCAAAATGGTTCTTACCAGCTTCTGAAAATGTTGGCATTATTGATGTTGCTGCTTGTGAAAATTAATCTTAATAATCTTTGCTCATCAGTTTTTTGCTAAAAGTCGTTTTGCTCAAATTATTTTTGCTCATAGTCAAGGTATTTCTCTTTTTTAATTTAAGGTTTTGAAATTGTACGCGTGGGAATCAGCATTTATTCGTCGTGTGCTTAATATACGCGAAAACGAATTAATTTATATGCGACAAAAAGCGATTATTGGAACTTCATCGACAACACTATGGTCCTTCATACCAATATTAGTATGTTCAACAGTCGCAAAATAAGTAATACTGTGATTCTTTTATATGGTATTTTTTTCAGGTTTGTATTGTAACATTTGCAACATATATATTATCTAGTCCGCAGAATGTTTTAACAGCTGACAAAGCATTCGTTTCATTAGCCTTATTTAATTTACTTCGAACTCCGTTAATCGTATTTCCAAATGTGATTAATAGTGTTGTTGAAGTGAGTAGTGTCGTCTACTTCTGTTCAAACAACTTTTTTTACTTGCATTCTATAGGCGCGTGTATCAAATGAACGTATCAAAAAATTTCTTTCAAATGATGAAATTGATGGCGATGCTGTTCAAAAAGGTCAAATTAGGGAAGGTACATAAGTAGTTCACATGTACGTTAAAACATTGGCTTCCATTCTTCATATTATTTTTAAGATGAAACTGTTATTAAAATTGATCACGGTTCGTTTCAATGGGCATCCAGTGAACACAAATCATTAATACTGAAAAGGTTGCTTTTGTATGTTGCCGACTTTGATAAATTCTTGTTTCTTTTTCAAGTATCAATTTAAATGTTCAAAAAAGTACACTTGTGGCTCTTATCGGCACAGTTGGTTCCGGAAAATCAAGCATTTTGTCAGCATTACTTGGTGAAATGACGAAAGTACAGGGACAAGTTACGGTTGGCGGGCGTATGGCTTACGTGCCACAACAAGCATGGATAATGAATTCTACATTACAACAGAATATCTTATTTGGTAAAGATTTAGATCGAGAACAATATGATCTTATTATTGAAGCATGTGCATTGAAACAGGATCTCGATATGTTACTACATGGTGATCAAACAGAAATTGGCGAGAAAGTAAACAGACTTCTCATCCCATTCTTGTCCTTCCAGTAGTATCTGCCTTGTTTAGGGTATCAATCTGTCTGGTGGGCAGAAACAAAGAGTGTCGCTGGCTCGTGCAATTTATAATGATGCCGATATTTACCTACTTGATGATCCGTTAAGTGCTGTTGATGCGCATGTTGGCGAACACATTTTTAAAAAAGTTATTGGACGAAAAGGATTACTAAGTGGAAAAGTACGAATTTTATTTACATATTTTGATTATTAGTGAGGGCAAAATCTCTTTCTGATAGGTACAAAGTATATCTAACAGCCTATGAGATCATTCCATTTAACGTTACATAAATTTTGTATGCAACAAAGGGCCGGGGTCAATAAGAGGCAAAATCAGCCCCCTCTCAGATCAAGCTCATATTCATAAGTCTGATGTAGTTTTTCTCCGTAATTAAAACTAGCACCTCCATTTTCATCCCCCCCCCTGAAAAAAATTCCGCATCTAAACTTTTCTCCCCTTAATTGAACTTTATTTAGAGTATTTTCCTTATTTCTTCCCTTTGCCCAAAGCAAACCTCAACTACTGTATATCATTCGAT